GGGCGGAGGAGTGGAAGATGATGTCTCCGAACCAGATGTAGAGGGAACTGTTCGCTGACCGAGACGACTCTTACCCAGGGCAGCACCACTCTTCATCTTCCCCTGAGCATGCTTCATTATTCGCTCCTGCGCTAAAGGCATTTTACCTGCAAAAATAATAGACACATAAGCACAGAGAAAGAAATATTTCGAGCAGAATAAGGAAGAAGTGGAAATTACCCAGGAGTTCAAAAGCCTCCCCGCGAGTGCGGCACTCGAGGAGCTCCTTTGTGTTAATGTATTGGGCTTCCACCTGCAGCCCACCATCTTCCTCGTACAAAAGTTTCTCGGCGTGAGTCACGCACTGGGCAGGAAGGAAGTTATCCACGTAAGCCACCAGCTTGGCATAGCTGGCTTTATCATCCTCCGTCAGTTGGTGAGGGGCAACTATATACTCGTCAGTTGGGCGGGTAAAGTGAGCCCCGCTCCAACAAAATGGAAAAGTAAAAAGTCTCAGGGCGACTATCTTGCCCTCCTCATCTATCAAGTCTTCCCCGTTCACATCCGTGGAGACCTCCCATACGAACGTTGAATCAGTGGCCACCTCCGACACCGACTCGATCACATAAAACCTCTCCTTGAACGTCCGGTTAGATTCGAAGAAAGGTTTGAATAACTTCCTCTCTTGCTTCAAGGAAACCCAACCAAACCTCTTCCACGACACCTGTCATTGAAGGTGGAAAATAGTGAAGAAAATAGGAAGGGTGGCCCCGATCTGCAGATGCTCGCATACCAGCTCGTATGCTCGCATGAAGGCGAGAGAATTCGGGTGCAGCTGAGAAGGCGCCGGATCAAGATGCACGAAAACGGCATGCTGAAAATCAGTAAAAGGCAACCTCAACTGTATCTTCTTAAAGACGTACTCATACATAGGGAAACACTCCTCGTATGCCGAGAAAATATGGTCTTCTCTAGAAGGAAATTGCACATTACATTCTCCCTCCGGTCCCGCCATGGTGAAGGCGTCCCTGGTATAAAAAGCAAAGATAGACACGTGCTCCATAGGCTCGACCACGGTCCACTCGTCCACTAGTGACAGCGCAGTAGACGTCCCCACGACCTCTGGAGACGAGGAACTATCATCTGTATCTGTACTCTCCGAGGAGCTATCCTTGGATGAATCTCTAAGATGCTATTCTTCTTCTCTGTGCGACATCTCTTTTACCTAAAAAGTAAAGGAAAATAGTGAATTTGATGGCAAAATCAAATCCACCCTTCCACTGCTAGTCAAGTGAAAGGGTGCGCAAAGGGCCGAAGAAGAGCATCCTCGACCTAAGCCCTACTCAAATGGCGCAGCTAAACAAACGAGGAAGGTGCCCGACAGTTCTACCTAAAGCACCCGGGGATAGCCCCCAGTCACAAAACCAGTGGCCTCACAGGGAAACCACCAGAAGTCGTGATAGCCTAACAGCGACGCAACAATGTCTCCCCTACCACGAATCATCTGAATCTAAGGGTTGTTAACTTACCTTTCCGAAAAGAGCCGACTACGCTGCCGGGGGTAGACAGATAGCCGCGTCACCGTGTACCACCAACAGCCACCACTAAACACGCCCTAACTAAGTTATTTTAGTCCTAACCACATGCGATCTAAAGCATCAAAACAAGGAAAAATAAAGAACAAGCAAGAATTGGTGCACTTACGTGGTCGAGGAAGAGGAACTGGAAGGAATGCAGTTCTGGTCGGGCGTCGTAAGGTGGTCGGAGCAAAATTGACGGCAGCGGGCGAAGGTTGCAGAGACGGGCACAATGGGAGAGAGAAGTAAAAATTCTGAATGAACGAACTCCCTCACTATTTATAGGCGAACTCCAGGCACGCACACGAGCACGTGCATGTAGGGCATCATCATGACCTTAGCCTAGCCATCATCATGCATTTAATGCAGCACACGACTTGAGGCACATGTGGCATCCCCACTCTTCATATCTCATTAACCGTTGGGCTCCCCAAATCTTGAGATCCCCGACACCAATGTCTACGGGCAAGGGTCCATCCGAACACGATGAAACATACAACGATTTTGCTCGGGAAACAGACCATCCTTAAGTCATTACTACCGTGCTCGGTAGCAATGACTTAGGGGGCTACGGTTTCGGACTGGCCCAATGGCTAGCCATGGCCCAACCCATTTCTGCTCCCAGAACGGCCCAATTACCTATGTCCAACCTCTTTGGAGGAGAGTTTACCTTTATGCCCCTCCAACAAGGGAGGCTGACCCATTTACCCTTGGTCACAACACTTCTCCCCGTCAGTCTCTGTCCGTCATGCATGGTTCTACCATCAAGAAACAGCCAAGACGCTTGTGCCCGTAACTATATCTCTGCACGTCATAACGGTTAGTTATGGGCACGTTTGCCCGTCCCAACGACTATTTCTGGCAATCACCTATTCTTCGGGAAACGGTTATCTCGCCCTGAAAATAGGGACCAATGACCAAGCGTTAGGGGTATTATAAAAATCCTCTCACTTGAGAGGGTCAGATATTAATTTTCTTACCTTGAAACACACATATTTTGTACTTGCTCGCTCTCTTGCTTGTTTTCTTACTTTAGCATCGGAGTGCCTTACAGGTACACTCTCTCCTCCTCTTTCACACCCAGCATCATAAAAGTCTGTCTTTGGTCCATCTCAGATTCTGATTGTTCGGTAAGATCAGGTCATATTGGTGTTGTTTCTCAAGGTTGCGACCCTTGGTGAAACAACTTCCTTTTATTAAGAGTTACAAGCTTTTGACAAAAGTTACATTTACTAAAGGTTAAATTGTTTTGCCTACAACAACATTTTTTAAGAGTTGCATATTCATTGTGCAACACTTCACGAAATATTGTCTATTTTCAAATTCAAACATACTGCAACACTTCACAAGTGTTGTTTATTTCTAAATTCAAAATTAATTTTCACTTGCATATTTTATTGTCATTTTAGATTATTAGTTTTTAATAATTTAAAATAAATAAAAACTTTGACAACCAAATTAAATTCACTTTCAATCTAAAATTATAATCAATCTCTACTAATACCAATTTCCTTAGCTTTGATCACAACTCTAAATTTCGCATGAAAAAAATTCACATTTAAGATTTTCCGCAAAAAGTTAAAAACATTTTTAAAAATACCACCACCAACCACAACCACAAAAATTTTATGAATGAAAGTGTCCTTTAATAGAATGAGCTTTAGGGGGCTTAATGTTAGCCTTAATAAGAGCAAACTCTTACATGTTAATGTAAGAGGTTCTGGTTGAGCTGTTAGCACATGATTGTGTATCATCTTCAATCTTTCATAGAAGATGAACATAAATTTATTAAAGATGTTAAGTTCCTATACATTTTTCGAGAATAATATTTGTAACAACCTAGAGCTTAATTAATGACCAAAGCCTCAATGATCAATTTACCATCTAATTCAAAAACCACGAAGATAATATTTCTTTTAATAGATGTAATATTAATTAATGTTAACATATTAATAAACAAACAGTATATAAATAGTATATATGAAATAAGATTTTGTGAAGATTTTTTACTACTTTTTATGAGGTTTAAATTTAAATTCAAAGTCCAAACTATTACTACTTGCATGTTTTTTTTATAACTAGCATCATCAATTTCACCATTTATTAGTCGAGTTCCATTTACAGTCAAGAAAAAATTATATATAGTCTGCCTTAACACAAACATTCGAATTTAAGAATTCGAAAGAAACACACGCAAGTCTCAACCACTAAAACAATCAATATACTCAGTATTTATTTAATCACTTTTGAATATTGATTAGTTAAAAAATTGGTAGTAAAATATCTCTGAATTATTTATAAGGAGATTTTTGTTAACAGTCTCACATCGGATAATATATCGTTTAAATATGTATTTATAAGCGTGACAATTTTCATCCTACTAACCGATTTTATAGGGTTGAGTTATACCCAACCACATTTTTTAAAATAATATCAAAGTTTGGTTTAACATTCAATGAACCACCTACCGTGATTTCCGCTATTAGATCACCTACCATTTATTTTCTTTCTTACAAACTCATTATTGAAGAATTCGTAAAATATAATGTTAGGTTGAAATATTTATACAACTATAATACTTCAATTTTATTCTTTACCAAAACACTTAGTGAAATATTGGCCTTACGATCTAAATTATATGATGAAGATTTAACATTCATTAAACATAAAAAATTATTATAGTCGATGAATGATTATGATCACCCGGCAAAAAAATCCATTTATGTAATATCAACCATATAAAATATTTAAAAGTATTTAATATATATATATATATATATATATATATATATATATATATATATATATATATATATATATATATATATATATATATATATATATATATATATATATATATATATATACATATATATATATTAAAAAAATAGAATTTAAAGGGTAAGGATCAGTTGGTTCTCACATCCAAACACAAACAAAGTTACATTTGTTTGAACCTGAATTATGCTCTATTATTATCCATATTTTCTACTTTCAAATAACTCATCATGTGTGTTTTTTTCTTCTTACACATATTCTTATTCTTCCCTCAATCTAGATCTAGATTATGTTCCATCACAAGTATACAAAACACACTCATCTCGATTTTTCAATCAAGATCGAACACTATAAAATCATCTTTAAATTTTGAACCATCAGATGTTGATCGAACGGTTACATTTATATTTCCTCATTGTAGAATTCTTAAGCAAATATTAAATATATTATTATCATCATAAACATAGATTAAAATAAGCATTAACCATTGTTACAAAGATGCTTCAGCTTCTCTGCTGTAATTAATATAATATATCTTAGACTAACAAAAGAAGAGAAAATTGAACATTATTTTATTTTATTTTTCTAAAACCAGAAAACAACAGACACATAAAACTAAAAAACCAGCAGAGGCAAAATGACAGAGACATGGCAGATCGAGTTCCTTCAGGCAGACTTTCCAGCGGCCGGCGAGTTTGGTTTCACCGGAGAAGTAGTGACGGCGGGAATGGAATTGGTGTTGATTTGAGAGGTGGTGGTTACAGTAGGAGAAGGAGGAGGAGCAGTGATTGGTTGATCTTCTTGGATGGTAATGACCTGAGCCAAGTCAAAAGGTTTGGAGAAGATATCGTCGGCGGCGAATATCTCCGACGGAAGAGCTCGAGAGGGTTGGCGACGATGACGAGACATGGTTGGTTGGTTGGTTGGTTTGTGGATAGAGAGAAAACAAATTGTATATAAAGGGGTTTTATGGGGATGCCAAAACCTTTCTACTTTTTTTTTATAAATAAATAACTATTTATGTTTATTTTAATTATATATATATTATTTTAAAGTTTTATCTTCTAGAAAAAATATTAATTTATATTCATTTTACATCAATTTATAAAAATATCAACAACTATTAAAATATTATCATATTTTTATAAAAATAATATTAAAATGTTATCAATTTTAAAAAAAATATATTATTTAAAGATTGTTAAAGATTAAAATTTAGATCAAGTTTATACTCATATAACTCAGCTAATATTTATTAATGGAATAAATTATTATTAATTCTTAATATATAATTGTATTTTATATGTATTATTATGGAAACAAAAATATTTATGTTTAAGTAGCAAATTTTTAAAATATAAAACATCCTTCAAATTTCAATTTAGTACAATGTTATGTAAAACTAAAATTTTAATCAAAAATTAACTATTATTATTATTATTGAACATAAAAATTGTTGATTTTGTAAAAATTTAAAATATATTTAATCTTTGTTGTTATTATTGTTAGTAGGAGGGCATTTCCGTGGCAGGCTATAGATGATTGATTTGTTTCTCACTAAAAATAGTTTTTTTATTATTTTTCTAATTAAATTGAATAGTATTTGTAATATACTTTACTTTATAATTACTTTTAAGGGAATTTGAATTTAATATGTTGAGTTGGAAAAGTCAAATTCTTACTATTAAAGTAACATTTCAAATATGTTATTTGATATGCTTTTAAATAATGATTGATTTAATCTCAAATATATTATTGAATATGCTTTTAAATAATGATTGATTGACTTGATCATAAAAATTAAAAAAGTTCATAGTAGAATCAACTAAGATTTCTACAAGAAAAAAAAGGGCTAGTTTACGAGCCAAAGGGTTATTTCATATATCTAGTTTCTTTTTAATCATCATTTTAAGATTGTTATTAATACATACAAAGTAAACTAATAAATAATAATACTTTTGTAAAAAAAAAAAAAAACACTTTTAGTTTACTTGTAATATGCTTAATTACTATGTATTACTATCTCATTTCACTTTTTTTCTATATAAAATAAGTACTTAGTTAAGAACTTATAAGTTTGAAATAATAATAATTAATTTAGTCCAAAAAAAAAATTAAATTATCTTGAAAATGAAAAATAAAAAGGAAAAAAAAATTTAAAAAGTGACACTTAAAAAGGAAATGAGTACTCTTTATAATACAAGTGTATCAAAAATTTTAAATTCTAGCTTTTTCTCATATTTTATCCGGGTAGGAGTAATTGTAATTGTAACATACATGATTAAAGAAACAATTTATGAAGTTTAAAATTTGAATAAATTCTGGAGATTTTGGAGATACATTTCTAGAATGATTATGTAGATATATTTTTGAATTTTTTTCTGTCTGTTTCTTTAATTCTTTTTGTTTTATAATTTTCTTGTTTGTGTTATTCATTTGCGTAAACTCATTGTACGGCTAATTTTATCTTGCAAACATAATGACTGACAGAGCCGACCAATTGAGACTTGAATGGGTTTTCCAACACACATCCGTTCGGCATGAGCATAGCCACCAGGTTCCAAAGGCAGCAGGTACCTCTGGTTAGGGAGAGGCATCGACTGCTGGAGCACAGTCTACTCCTGAGACTCAGTTCACTCCAGTGGCGTAGTTAACCCCTGTGGCGTAGTTAACCCCTGTGGCGCAGTCCACTCCTGGAATTCGGCCTTCACCTCAGGATACTCCATCTACATCTCAGGCCACTTCACCTTCTTCTTCTTCTTCCCGCAGGAGACACGATGCACCAAATGACGCGTCACTTCCTTCATCCTCTCGCAGGTGTCAGGATGCACTTGTGCTACCTCTAGTTGATCTGTTGCCACCTCTAAAGAGTGAGGTTGTTGATGATCCTGATGCACCGGTGCCACCTCTGGAGGGTGAGGTTACTGATACCGAGACAGAGGCTTTCGAAAGGGATCCATCTAATATGTCCTTACTTCCTCTATATCCAGACCAAACTTCCAGACATATCTGGGACGAAGAGTTAACATTAGTCTAATTTTTGATGAATTTTTTTACGTTGATTTAAATTCTTGACATTGATTAATTCTAACGTTGATTCTTACTGACATTGGTTATTTCTGGAAATTCGCAGGTGTGTGATCCCTAGTAGTTTCTGAACCATCGGAGAAAGATTATAACATTCCATCAACCGAAAGACTAGTGGTTTCAGACAGTTATGACCGCTACTGGGTTGAGTGACCTATGCTTGTCCGGTTACACTCTGGTCAGCCACGAGATGATTATTGCATTCGTGGAGAGATGATACTCTGAGACGTCTTCGTTTTATCTCTCGCATGGTGATATATCTATCACCCTAGACGATGTCTCGTCTTTGTTGCATCTTTCGATCAGGGCGAGATTCCTCCATCATGGTAGGATGACCAAAGACAAGGCGATTGATATGATGGTAGGGCATCTAAGGGTTTATCCAGGGAAGGCGTTCAAGAAGATGGATAGGACCAAGGGTGCCCGCGTTAGGTTTTTGTTCCTGAAGACATTATTTGATGCTGAGATCGCTGCTGCACAGTAGGTTAATGGTGATGTCGAGCAAGTGACCTTACAAGGGACTCATGCTTTGAGGGCATATTTTCTTTATTTAGTCGGCATTGTGATTTTTGTGGACATGAGTTCCACTTATACTGACGTTGCATACCTCTTGTACTTCTTGGATCTCATACGGATCCATGAGTACAACTAAGGGGCGGCTTTCCTTGCCTATTTGTATTCGAAGTTAAGAGATGAATGTCAGTGGAGGACGAAACAGGTCACAAGCAGCACGACATTATTGGTGGTAATAAATTTTTATCCTTTGATGTTTTTTTTATCATTTTCATTTCATATTTGTGATAATTCTAGATCCTAGTGAGGATGTATTGGCTCAGGGTCATCGCATAGTGGAGATGGCGCGGGAAGGCATTGATGAGAGTATCTTCCCTGAGGGGTCTGTTGTCAGGCGAGTACTGGATGGCATTATTATGAAGGCACAAGGGACACTTTTGTACCGCAGATATCACGCGAGGACGAGGGTATTAATGGCCGATGAGGCAGACTAGGAAGAGGAGGCACATGAGGTGGAGAAAAGGTTGTTAGGCACACCTAGTAAGGGCCCGTTACTATTTTGATGTTTTACTATAGTTTGTACTTTTTTCTGACATTGTTACTACATTTTCGATATGGTTTTGTACGACATTTTACTATTATATAGCTATATTATTTTATATGTTTGTTATTTTATTCGATATCATTCTTCATAATTCATCTGCAAACAAATACACAACGTGTTATAAATAAAACTTATTCTGATACACTTCGGAGATGTATCTCCGAAATATTCCCGTAGATACATCTCCAGAAATATTTTTAAAAAGGGTTATTAGAGACACGGTTTGAGCGTCTAAAGTTTAAAATAGTTCTGCAGGTATATCTCCGGAAATATTTTAACATTCGATCAGAATTGTGGTGCATCCGAAGTGTGAAGACAAGCTTCTCAAGCGATTTTGACTTGGGTACCTAACAAAAAGTAATTTGTTTTGTAGGTTTGCTTGAAGACCACTTCAAATCTTTGGTATCGTGACAATGGTTGTTCAAAGCATATGATCGGTGACATCAATAAATTTTCAAATCTAAAGCTTAAGTCCAAGGGTTATGTTACATATGGTGACAATAACAAAGGAAGGATTCTTGGCATAGGCAAAGTTGGAGCACCACCTTTCACATCTATTGAGGATGTTCTTTATGTCGATGGACTAAAGCACAACTTACTTAGCATAAGCCAATTATGTGAAAAAGTATTCAAAATCAAGTTTACAAAAGATGAATGCTTGATAGAAGACGAAGTCACTAAAGAGGTAAAGGTAAAAGGATCAATAACATATTTATGATTTCTCTTGACAATTTATCTTTGAAGGTTAAATGTCTCATGGCGAATAATAATGATTCATGGTTATGGCATAAGAGATTTGCTCATATACACATGGAACATTTGAACAAGTTGGTCAAACATGATCTTGTTGTTGGTTTGCCTAAGATAAAATTCATCAAGGATAAGTTGTGGGATGCATGTCAAAAAAGGAAATAGACAAAATCAACTTTCAAGTCAAAGAATGTGGTGTCCACAACAAGCCCACTATAATTGTTACATATGGACTTGTTTGGTCCATTAAGAACAAAAAGCTTCGGAGGTAATGTTTATACTTTGGTTATAATTGATGATTTTTCTAGATTTTGTTGGACTTACTTTTTAGTGCAGAAAAGAGATATTTTCAAAGCATTCAAGAAGTTTGCAAAACAAATACAAAATGAGAAGTCATTAACAATTGCCTCCATAAGAAGCGACCATGGTGGGGAATTCCAAAATGCTCTTTTTGAAGAATTTTGCGAAGAATATGGAATCTCTCATAACTTCTCAGCACCAAGAACTCCCCAACAAAATGGTATTGTAGAAAGGAAGAATAGATCATTGGTATAACTTGTAAGGACAATGCTTAGCGACTCGAATCTTCCAAAATATTTTTGAGCGGATGCGGTTAGTATGGCATGCTTTGTTAGTAATCGTGTTAATATTAGACCTATTCTTAAGAAGACTCCCTATTAACTTTTCAAAGGGAGGAAACCTAACATTTCTTACTTTCACATATTTGGTTACAAGTGCTTTGTCTTGAACAATGACAAAGACAATCTTGGTAAGTTTGACGAGAAATTTGACGAATGCATATTTCTCGGCTACTCTCTCTCCAGTAAGGCTTTTAGAATTTATAATAAAAGAACTTTAACTATTGAAGAATCTATGCATGTTAAATTTGATTAATCTAACCCTTCCAAAGATGAATTTGTTTTGTATGAGGATGATGGTGAAGAGAACGAGATGT